AACTCACTCATCACAATTATTACTTGTACAACGAACTCGTACGCTTGTGAGATTTTTGCGTAACACCTATCCCATTTCTTTTTCCATACATGTTTCCTGAAACACAACAATTTGAACAACACAATGTAAAATGCAACAAGAAACTGCAACCAGTGACGAAGCCACCCCTCTACGTGGCGCGGCCACACATGCTAGCTCCGACAGAATTTATAGGTACAATGGTGGCCGATGGCAAAGTGAATAGAAAAGACATGTGTTGGCTTGAAAAATGGGGAAGATGAAGTCGGACCTGGGCCTTTTTTAAGAATCTAGGCCTCTTGTAGTTGGGATTTTTTTTTTTTCCGAAACTGTGGCGCAGTAACTGAATAGTCAGTATCCATTTGGAAGAAAAAACAAAATCTTTGATAATTGTTCACAATCCATTGCCCAAGTTCGAAGTCACCACATTTCACTTTCAAAAATAACAACCAGTGAATAGAGAAAACGCACGCAAAAAAAAAAAATCACAGGTACAAGACAATATTTATGTGGTTCAGCCAATTTGTCTACGTCCACGGAATTTCAGAGATTTCACTATTATCAGGGAAAGAAATACGAAGTACGGCCGTACATTCTCTCTATATATCATAAAAAACTCTAATTACCAAAACCTCTGTTTTCTATATCCTGCGCACATGATTCACAATGGGCAACAAACTGGGCTAAAAAAATTTTATGGAACATTTTTTTGCTAAATTTTCCTGCGCACAGCCCAAGCCGGGGCTCCATGGACTAATCCTCAGAAAATCTCCCATTAAAAACCACACAACTTATTTGGGTCGGGTCGGGTCGGGTCGGGTCATCAACTGGATCAAACAAAACTAAGCTCCACAAAGCCCAACAGTTTTTTATTCTCGTTTTTTTGTATGGCATCGAGTGCTAATTTATATCTTATGTCTTTTTTTTTTCCTCAACTTTGCGGATATGCTATTAATTAAGGAACTCATGACATCTTGTTCAATATTTATTGCATCTTCCTCAACAATAACACAAGAATAAGAGTAATGCTAGTAATGGTATTAATAGGTGGACAATCAAATGCCATCAATTAATGATACCTTGTTACCTTGGGTTGTTTGTTCTAAGTCCTGATTGATCGATTCATTATCAAAGCTTGGATTGTGAAAGGGAGTTTGATTCTTACAATTCATTTGTGTTATTTCAATTTCCATATTATTGTATTGACATTTAACCAAGTTTTTACTATCTATACTTGCTAGGGGTTGCATTTTCACTACAATGAGATAAATGTGATGCGGGAAAAAAAAAAAGTTAGGGACTTTTGGTGGCGGTGGCGGGAGATAGGTTGATTGGTGGAAGATGAAAGAGATTTTATTTTAATTTTTTTTAATTGAGTCATGTTTTAATTGGGATTTGGTTGTATTTGAAAAAAAAAAAAAAAGGACCGTTAGTTATTAATTAATTATTATTTTCTGCTTTTCTTTTTCCCTTTATTAAAGAATGGGTAAATTCATCATTTTACAACGCTTTATGGATAAAAAGGTCAAAAATGTAGTACTCCACAAGATTTGATTGATTTAGGGTAGGGATGTCAATGGGCCGAGCCGAGTCGGCTCGGCCCATACCCACATGAGCGAGCACGAGCCGAGCTTAATTTTGGGC